CTGTAATTAATCCGATTGATCAAACAGAAGTGAAAAAATTGATCTCTTTACAAATAAATGATTTTGAAAAAATATCCAACTAAACTGATAAACAAAATTTTTTCAAATAATTGAAGTGAATTTTGATACAAATATGAAAATAAATTTGATTTTGGATTGATATTGTTTATTTAATATTTTTATGAATAAGAAGATAAATAACCGGTTTTTCTAGATCAAGCAATTGTGGATACAACATACCTGGCGATCACCTCCGACATACAGTGAAGCGTGCCCATCTATTGTTTTAAACGATAGCACAATATTTTCTGATCTGATTCGTATAACTGCCGCTGAATAATTACTAATATCATAACCGATCCATTCTTGACCATAAAAAGATAATTCAGAATCCAATCGAGCTGAAAATTTCAATGAGTCAAGCAATTAAAGGACTGGGGTGGTTGTGTAATGCGTAATGCGTGTTACTTGAAATTAATCGTCAAAATTTTTAATAAATCAAGACAGAATCCCAGAAGCATACAGTTCACAGATTCTTGGATATTTACATAAAATAACATTTACTTGTAGTAGCTGAAATAGACTAGCGCAATAACGAGTGCAAAGTTCATTAACAGAAATTTAGTAAGGGAATTAATTAAAAAGAATCTAAATTTGAATTTTTTCAGATAAAATAAAAAGATATATGAATATATAAAATGTTTATCTTTCAGATATGATCTGTTATTTTTGATCTTCTACACTTCTGAATTTTTCATTCATTATTTTTAATATATGAATGCATGCTATTTATTGCTTTTTATAGACAAATTTTTTAACAAAAATAATCAAAACCTTTATCACAATGTCTTCCATGAAAATCGGTGAATGAGCAATCACATTTGGGACCTTCATTGGTATTATAGCAAATGCCACCATTTTGACAAAATGAATCCTTCTTTTCGGCAAGGTTTTGCATGCTACAGTAATCGTCATCAGACTGTCTCATACCAACACTTTGTATTAATTGAGGTGAGGTAAATCCTGAATTGTTTTGTTTGAGTTGAATTGTTTGGACCACTTGATATTTAAAAGATACAAATTATTACTGAGAAAAGAAAGTATCAAGCAATGAAAATTAAGTAAGCTATCAAATAATAAGAGTACAGCACAAAGTAACGAAGAAATTTGATGATAAAAATTCAACTTAATAATCAATTAATTAATTAATTAATTAATTAGGTAAGTGAGCAATTAATAAAGCAAATAACCTTGTGGATCTAATCTGTACAATATGTTTTTTACACCTCCTGCAAACGTTGTCGTGTAGCGTTTCAAAGGTGAACTCATTACTCCAAGCAAGTGAATATCCTTAGAAACACGTGAATATATTTAACAACTATGCAAAAACAAAACAAAATTCGTATTTATTTGCTTACTAACTAATTTTTAATTAAAAAAAATCACTGAAATTGTTAAATTTGTATATTTTTTATTATAATAATTAATGATGGCGTTGAGATTCTCAAAAATTTTTTATTGCTTTTGTATAAAATAGTCGATGAAAAGCAATCTTACAGTAATTTATAGAAATTGCATTGCAATGAAAATTCATTTTCAGTTAATCATAGAACTAGACAAGTTTACTTTTGGTATGCCACCAATAAATACGTCTGAATTCGTCTTCAAATTTCCGAATACAAAGCTGTGTTGATTGAGAATTTTGAACAGCACTGTATCGTCTAGTTGTAATTTCACGTTTTCCCAAGCCTTTAATGGATTTTCAAAATAAATTATTAGTATTTCATGAAGAATTTTGTCCAAAGAAAAAATGAAACTTTCAGTAATTATTTTGAACTTACCAAATTCAAAGTCAAAGTAAGAAACAAAAAACTTTGACAAGTTTCAATATCCCTAGAAATGTGTAAATGGCACTATTGAGAACCAGTAAAATTACTTTAATTATTTATTAAGTATTATTATTCATAATTTATGAATAAAAACTAATCAAAGTCATTACAGCTAGAATAAACAAACCCTCATCAAAACATGGAAACCTGTGGTTAAAATAGTAAGAATTTGAACAAACTCCTGATTTTCAGCAATTATTCATTACTTATTCCAAACGTATATATAATTTGCAAACTTTTTGGCTTGATTTAATAATTTTTATAAGAAGATCTGTTTTAGATTTTTAATTAAAATTATTTAAAATTATCATCTCTGAAAGTTATTAAGCAATTTTGTCAAACAACTATTCTTAAAATTCTTAATTAGTAATTGTGATATGCCAACATAATAAGTGTTTGATCTAAAGTCTAAGAAAAATGCGTTCGAAGTCTAATATATGCAAGTTGATATTTATTTGCAACACATGATATCTGACAAGAATTTGTGACATATGAACTTTGACATATCATTGCAAGTTCAAAACAATAAAGATTAGACATCACATTGCTGTTCTTTTGTGCTAGTTTGCATCTTAACAACATATGTTTGAAGGAATTGAAAAAAATAATAAATGAGAGATTTTAT